CCTCACAGGCAACCAGGTGTCCAGGAGGCCACTGGTGTCCTTGTGTGGATTCCCAGATCAAAGAGTTTGGGTGTAGGACTCGGCTGGAATTTGACCCAAGTACCTGGTACTCAGTGGTCCTCCTGGGGTGATAGACATTCCCCCATAGCACAGCACGTAAATACAGAGGTGGCCTTGCCCAGCAGCCTCTCCTCTGGGGTTGGAAGGTTCCCATGAGGAAGGCACAGCCAGTATAGCAGGAGGCAGCTCTGTTCATCCACCCCCCCGAGCACCAACAGCAGGTTTCCACAGAACCAGCTTGGACCTACAAACCTCTAAATGTATTGGGAAAATTAACAGGCTTGGGTGATCAACCAGTCCTGGATTGGTGACTCAAAACCTTTGGGTTCAGCTCTCAGCCCTGCCACAAAGTTCTTATCTGAAGGTGGCCAAACACAGCTCAGCTCCAGAGGGGTTTGTTCTCCATAGAGGTTGTCTGGAGAAGCTGTGGCTGCCCCATCCCTGGAAGTGTCCAAGGCCAGGTTGGACAGGGCTTGGAGCAACCTGGGCTAGTGGAAGGTGTCCCTGCCCATGGCAGGGGGTGGCACTGGATGGGCTTTAAGGTCCCTTCCAACCCAAACCATCCTGTGATCCAATATCCCAACCTCTGCCAGTGATGTGCACAGTGGGATGCTGAAATGCAACATGGAGTGCAAACTGTCTGTATCCCTTTGAATCAAACTCCCAGCAGTGCAGGAGCTGGAGGGGCTGTAGGAAATCCAGGAGTCATGGCTGGCAGGGGGCAGAGGGAGATCCGGGGCCGTTGCAGCAGTGGGGGCTCAGGGGCTCCTCTGCTCTGGGATTCAGTATCCCAGCTCCTCAGCTCTGCTCTCTGCATTCACCCCTGGAACATTATCTAAAAGCAGCACATTCCCTTTGATTGAATTTACCTTATGGAAAAATACCTTCCGAGAGTCGCAGCTGTTTCTACAGAATACTCATATTTGTTTAGTAAAATAATTGGAAAACTGCTCGTTGTTTAGGTACAAAGTCATTTCCTAAGGCCCATGTTTTAAAGTCAGATAGAACAGCCTGAGAACCTGTCACTCTCCCACAATTTCTCCTGAATGTCAGGAACAGCACAGAAATGAGCCATTGTTTTAAATTATTCTGGCTGAAAGAACCCGTATTTTTGTTGTCAAAACCCTGAACTGGCTCTGCCCCGATGCTCCATGTGTTCTCTTGCCCCAGATTAACAGATCAGATAAATTCTGATTTATCCAGGTGGGGTTGTGCCCCCACAGCTGCCCCTTTGGAAGAGCTGGGCTCCAGCCTGGGAGCTCTGGCAGAGCTGCCAGGAAATCACAGGGAGTGTTAACAGGGCGAGAGAGGAAGAGGGGACTCCGAGGCTTTGTCCTCGTGGTTAATGACTCAGGGAGGAGGCTGTGCTCACATTAATTGGCTCCAACCTGCAGCCCTGAACTGCAGAAACAGCAACCAACCCCCTTGGCTGCTGCAGGAGGAGGTGGGGGCAGCAGGGATGGGGTCACTCCGTGCCCGGGTCCTGCATGGACAGGATGGACACGGGGAATGCTGGGGGGGTGTGCAAGGACAGGCTGTCCCACTGCTGGGCCAGGAGGCACCAGGGTGAGCAAAGATCAGGCCTCGTTGCACTTCTATTTCCAGGACAATAAAACCTCTGATTCCAACAGGAATTGCGTTCCACTCAGCATGTCGGAAGAGCCATCAGTCCAATCTCCTCCCTGGAGAGCAGGAGAATCATGGAATCATAAAATCCCACAATTGAAGGGACCTCAAAGCCCATCCAGTGCCACCCCCTGTCATGGGCAGGGACACCTTCCACTAGCCCAGGTTGCTCCAACCTGGCCTTGGACACTTGCAGGGATGGGGCAGCCACAGCTTCTCTGGGCAACAAGAGAGAAACACACAATTTTTGATCTTTTTGATTGAACACTTTCTAACCCAAAGGATTGGGGGTGCCCCTGATGCCACCCTGAAGCAAAGACCAGTTGGGTGTTGGGCACAGGCTCTGTCCTCGCTCGGCACCAGCAGGGCAGGATGACCTGGAATCGCTGGGATTCCCTTTGGGAGGGAACTGTTGCTGCTGCTGCTCACGTAAATCCCTCACACACAGCTCTGCTCTCACAGCCACGTGCATCCTCAAACATTCCCTTGCAAAACACACATGTAAGGAAAAGAAATTCCCATGAACCGCCCCCTTCCCAAACCCCTGGCACATGAGGGTGTCCCGCTGTCCCCAGCACTGCCCCGAGCCCGCCTCGAGCACTTCAACTGCAGCCACTGTCACCCTGGTACAGACACCTCCAACTGCGCCCTGACCAGCCACATTCCAGGGCTCCAGGAGGCAGCTCAGCTGATTAAATTTGTACTACAGCCTGGAGGAGGCTTTAATGGGAAGATCAGGGAAGCAATCACGCACCTGGATATTTCTAGATGCCCTCCGGACATTCCAGCTCAATCCCACTGCCTAAGCGTGTTTGCAGTGTTTATGCAGGGAAGAAATAATGCAAAGGAAATTAAAAATTAAAGGTGTGAGATCGGGTGTTATACTCCATGAAGCACACAACTCAGTTTTTACAGCCCACTTGGGTGGTACCTGTTCTTCATATCAACTAGTCCAGCTCAACTTTCCTGGCTAGCTCCAATTATCAGGGAGAATGGGATGGGTTGGAAAGGACCTTAAAGACCACTTCATCCCAACCCCCCTGCCAGGAGCAGGGACATCTTCCACTACACTGCTTAGAAGACTAGTCACTGATATCAAGGCAGCACATGCCACAAGGTCATCCCAAAGGTGTGGAACAGGGGGCTGAGTATTGATAATTTATTTTTATTTATGTAGGACACGGCACTAACACTGACATTTCTAATGTGTTTGGAGCATTACACAAACAGAAGGATTCTTGCCTGCTTAGCATTACACATTATGCATCTGTCCTACACTGTGCCAGCTTTCCCTGCCGCTGGATTTTCACAGTGGTAGGAAATAACAGGGATAAAGGGATTAAAAAGCAATGATTTCCAGTAAAGCCTTATAGGACATGTCTGCTATGATCTCAGCTTACTTGTCTCCTCTACACCAGTAAAACACTCTCGTAGTAGACAGATTTATGGATTAATGCAGATGAGTGTGTAAAATAAATATTTTGCTTATAGCTTCTACACACTTTTCAGCATTCCCTGTGATTATAATGGCTTCTGAAGGCTCTTTCCAATGGGGTGATTTGCAGTTCAGAAGTTAAAGTCAGGGCCCTCCTCTGGCTCCGGTGCCAGCGAAAGGTCAGGATTGGAGTGCAGTGTTTAGCAATTCCAAATAATTGTATCCAGACTTCAAACATGCCATGCTTTGTCACAGCTGCCACTTAAGGTCAAATTGAATTTAAATTCTGTTTATCTTTGTATTAATAGAGCTACAGTTCAGGCTAAAGCCACGAGGAACCCAGTTCTCAGAGCGGTCTCTGCTTCCTCCCAGGGAGGAAGAGCGCAGGGACTGAGGGCACTGAGGGCACTGAGGGTCTACAACCACAACAGGTAGGGGAGGGAAGTTCAAAGGCTGTAAGCCCTGGTTTACAGAGGAGGAGCAGTTCAGCAGCTCAGCCAAGGCCATGCCTGTGTCAGACCCAGGGACTGAACCAACACCCCTGAATCACAACTGCAGAGAAAAACCCCAAGTGACTCCTGGTACAGCTCCCCGTGCTCAGCCTTGGCCCAGGTGCCCATTCCAGGAGTCCAGGATCCCAGACACTGCTTTGCCTGGCACGGGGGGCAGCCAGGTGTGACCCCAGGAGCTCCAGAACTGCCACCCATCCCTACACGCACGGGAGAAGCTTAAAATGAACATTATTTCTATTAAAAATAGAACTGACACTGTACTGCTACAAAACAATGCTGCCCAGCCCCCAGCACGTGCACACACGATATATTCATTAATATAGTGTAGAGTTCCCCAAATTCCCACTGTATCCATTGACCTTGAGCACAGGATTTTTGTTGTGGATCGCTGATCCCTGGAGTAAAATGGATTTCCAGCAGCCTCAGATCCTTCCCCACATGAAGCTTTACCTTCACGCTGCTTTTCCCTGAACACAAACCTTTGACCTTCATGCTGCTCTTTCCTGGACACAAACCTTTGTCTCAGAGGTAGAATGAAAGCAATAAAGGATGGGTTTGGTGTGTTTGTTGTTTTTGTTAAAAATGCCACTATGCAGCAAACATACAGCCAACATTTTAAATACGTAAGTTTACATGCTGCACAGTAATTTCATTTATTTCATACAGAATCAGGGAAAAAGTCCTCAAACTACAATCCTTGAGATGCTCTATTCTAATACACAGAATTATTGAGTAAAAAGATCTTAGTCTGAGCAAGGAACATCCCACTGGGGATTCCTCTCTTAACAGAGCAGGTCTGTAGAGATACAGATGTCAACTCAATTCCTCCTCAGGTCCAGGAGCTCCGAAGTTAATTTCACACCAAGAAGGTTTCAACAAGCAAGACACAGGAAAAAAAAGTACCCTGAAAAAGAAATATTGAATTCTTTGACACGGCCAAAATATTCATGGTAGAGAAGTAGGGGGGAGGAAAGGGGGGCAGAAGATGGTTTTTGAGCTGGACATGCTGAAAGCAGCAGCTGAATTAAGTGGAAAGGAATAACTCTGCCCAGAGAAGCTCCTTCACATCCTGCTCATAAGGAATTGCCCAGCTCTCTGAGAGCTGCACACTCAGCCCTGTCTGTGCACAACCTGTGCTGGAGGTGGTTGAGAACAGCAGGTTTTTGACTGGCTGGACCCAGGGCATCACTTCTTGTATCAGGAGATGCAAGGGAATGTTTCCACAGCTGTTCATCCATTAGCACATGACAGGAACTGAGCGGACAGGAGCTTCGTGCCCCGTGTGTTCTCAGTCTTACTCTTGGAGTAAATACAAAAGATGTGCTTGCAATGAAGCTCCTCAATTGTCTTTAAGGAGCTTCGGCTTTCTAAGAAGCTTTGGGGGGTTCCTTGCGAAGTGATGAAATGAGATTAGAGTCCCTCCTCATGAAACATTCACATGACAGATCATCTGGGGAAAGAAACATCAACCAAAAGAAAAAGCTTCCCAATTAATAAAACATAAGAGAAGTGAGATGGAATAGCATGTGAAAGGAATGACCTGCTTTAAAAGCACTGCTGGGTGTCATCTTAGCTCCTTCTTGCAGAATTCCCCACATAAACCCATCCAGCTGTTCCCATCTGCCTCCCTCCTGCCGCTGCCAGGACGGGGAACCACGACAACCCTGCTGCTGGAGAGCTGCTTCACTTCTCCTGGAAAAAACGTGCAATTCCAGGGAGTGATCCAGGCAGAAGGATCTTCCCAGGACCAAACTGGGTGTGCAGCATCCCCTGGTGCTGGTGCACTGCTGCTCCCACCCAGGTGCTCTCTGTGGGCCCAGCACATGTGATCATATCCCCACTCTGCACCTGCAATCACTCACCCCATTTGTGCATGCAATTATTATATCTGCATGCATAATTGGGAATGCATTATGCAAATCACCAGTTATTGAGGTAATTGGTCATTGGCTTACACAGTTACTGGTGGGTGATTTGCATGTGCTGTGCTGGTACCTTTCTGAATAAATCCAGCACACTCAGGCAATTCTGAAAATAAACGTCCACATCCAAACCCTGGGTGAAGAGAAAACCTTGCTGGGTTCACAAAAAGTGTCACCCACACTAAGAAACCTGTAACAACAGTCAAACTGTAATATCTCTTTCTCTGCTTGACCCACAAACAAGTCTTCAGCAAGAATACTTCTCCAAAAATTCCACCTGCCTGTTGTAAACTGCTCACAGACTTATTTCCACCTCCCATCCCTCAGGAGCTGCTGCTGTTGGGACACAGCAAGATTCTCACATGCTCAGTAGCAAGTCTCTTTTTTTTTATTTTTATTTATATTTATTATTTTTTATATTTTAATTATTTTTTATATTTAAATTATTTTTTAATTTTATTTATTTATTTCTCTTTTATTTTTATTTTTGACGGTGCCCCTTCTACCTGTCAGTCCCACTGGCTCCCTCTTCCCAGTTGATATTTCAGTCCAAAAAGGCACTTTAGGATCCCGTGGCACAGTTCAGGGGATGGATTATGCACACACTGGGACGTTAAGCAGCTTAATGGCAGGATGTCTGCTCAGAGAGAAAAGGCAGCGACGTGCGTGACAGGTCACCCAGAGCTCCATTGTTTTATTATTATCCAGCCTACGTTGTTTAGACCCTTCCAAAGCTTTAAAGGCCTGGTCCCCAAAATGCCAGGCACTGTGAAGACACAAACCAGCAGACAGGTCTCTGTCCTGGAGCTGCAAATAGGTTTGGGGCAGGAAGGAGGAGGGGACACAGGATGGAGTGGACACAGCAAATGTCACACTCCCTCCACAGCACTTTCAGGGATGAAAATGAACCAGGAAAGCAGCTGAATGCAAAGACAATGGAGGAATAAGGGGATGAAGTCAGAGGGTACAGGAGAGAAGATGAAAACAAAGAGGCAATTAAAAAGGGCAATGTGCAGCCCAAATAGTCATAAATCTCATATTTTCCTGGGACCTTCTTTTTCAAGATCCCTTGAGCAGGAGTGTGTGGGAGAGCACTTAGTTCTGACTGATACTGATGACAGGAAAACATTTTTGGAGATTGTACCTCGATCAGCTCATGGGAGGTAACATGGAGAGGAAAATTCACTGCCTTTCTCCCTGAGTGCAAACCTTCCCCTTAGTCCAAGAGGTTGTGCAGCAGCTACTCCTGAGCTGTTGATACCTCACAACCTGGGAGAGAAACAACTTCCACTGCTCTTTACTGCACAAAAATACTCATTTGCATCCTGTAGGAATGAAAGATTTTTTAATTTCCATCTCAACATTATTCTCATTCCCAGTGTTTCAATGTTGTGAAAACTGCCTAGAAACGAAGACACCGGCTCAAGATTTTAAAATTTTAACTCTCACTGTATTTCTCCTCCTCTTTGTTTGCAGGTAGGTTTTAGGTCCACCAGATTTGTGCCTTGCAGGATTTTTCTCCAGCATTGGCAGGGGCTACCCAGGGAGGTGGTGGAGTCCCCATCCCTGGAGGTGTTCAGGAATGACTGGTTGTGGCACTCAGGGCTCTGCACCCAATGGCTCAGCAGGGACACCCCAAATCTCCTGTCCCATGAAGGAAGGTTTCCATTCTGTGGTCCTGAGGAGTTTGGACAGCTTGGGGAGCTGCTCTGCAGTTTCCAACCATCTCTGATTGCTTTGGGGTTTGGAGGTGTGAGCTCTGCTTTGGAACCTTATTTGTGATCATTGCAAAGCTCCTCATGGATCTTGGAAGGGGAGGGGCCTGTTGTGTGTGTAATTTAAAACAGGGAAAGCCTGGAGTGGAGACAGCACCGCTGCAATGACAGACAAGTGTTCAGCTGCTCATGAAAATTAAAGACAGAGAACACTGTCCCCTGGGAAGTTCCAGACCCCCGGCCCTCCTCTGGGCTGTACAGACACAGGACGGGCCCGGGAGCCTCCTGAGGAACCAGAGCAGCCTCACACCAACACCATCATCAGTGTGTGTGAGAAAAAAGGCTCAGACAGTTCCCTCAAACCCCAGTGCCTGTCAGGAGACAAGGAGGACACGGCTGTGGGGGCTGCAGGTCCCACTGCTCTCCCTGGGGTTAGAGGAATTGTGCAGAGAGCTGCAGGAGGACCCCATGGAACTGGAACCGTGTGAAAGGATGGGTCTACTCTGTTGAGAAAGTAAGAAAATAAATTCCCTGCCCTGAAACAAAGAACTGAAGCCATTCAAAACACTGGGTTTTCCAAGATGCATCCTCTACTGAATTACTTCCACATCAGGAATAAGTGATAGAAGGGAAGGGAACATCCGGACGGATGAGAACAGGCCCTGTGGAAGGAAAAGAGGCCTTTTGGACATTGATGAGTTCCTTCTGAAAATTCAATTTCCTTATGTATGAAAAACTTCACTTTTACTGTTACTCAAATGACCTTTTGGGCTCCCAGAAAAAAATTCATTGCCTTGGGAGGAAATCTGAAGCATTAAGTGCAGACTGTATTTGCCATGTGTTTAACTTATTGTTAACTCATATTAAAAACTGTTTAACCAGTCTTTAAAATCATTTCCTGGGAAGGTGCCACTCTGGGCCATGCCTGGAGGAGGTGCTGAGCTCAGCCTGATGAGGAACCAGCACCTTTTCATCCAGGTTGTGCTCAGGTGATTGCAACACTTTGTGCAGGGCTGGAGGGTGAACAATATCCCCAACAATTACCTGTCAATAAAAGCACCAGTGCCTGTTGAGGAACACAGAATTCCCATTATCTTAATAGAGGGCATGAGGGATGAGGCAGCACAGCACCATCCAGCAGAGCTTTGTCTTCTGTTGGTTAAGTGAGTAATAAAAAAAAGCAGGAAATAAAGGTTTTAAGGTAAGAAGAAAAGCTGATTTTTATATCAGTGCCAAAACTTCAGCCAGAGACTCCTCGTCTAACAGACTAATTGTTCTTAAAGTCCGACGTGAGGCTCCAGCCAGTGCACCCAGGGAGTTTGACCAGAGAAGTGGGTGAGGAGCAAGGTCAGGACAAGAAAAGGTGCAGAAATGTGCAAGTCAATAACTCTAAACTAAGGTAAGTGAAAACAGAGTCAGCAAACCAGGAGGGAACGGGCTGTGGAACATATCCAAGGGCTTACCCAGACAGCTCCAAATCCGTGAATTTCAGGCTCAAATGACTCCCAGGGTTCACAGAATCACAGAGGTATGGAATATCCTGAGATGGGAGGGACCCGCAGGGATCATCAAAGTCCAACTCCTGGCCTTGCCCAGGACACCCCAAATCCCACCCTCAGAGCATTGTTCAAACCCTCCTGGAGCTCTGGCAGCCTTGGGGCTGTGCCCACTGCCCTGGGGAGCCTGGGCAGTGCCAACCACCCTCTGGGGGAAGAACCTTTCCCTGAGATCCAACCTGACCCTGCTCTGGCACAGCTCCAGCCGTTCCCAGGTCCTGTCCCTGGTCACGGGGAGCAGAGATCAGACCTGCCCCTCCGCCGCCCCTCAGGAGAAGCTGTAAAGAGCTGTGAGATCTCCCCTCAGTCTCCTCTTCTCCAGGCTGAAACCAGGTGGACATTGTAGCCTATTTTTCTCCTGGCTAACTCATCAATCCCTCACTGAGCAGCCCTGGAGGACACACAAATGCAATCTCAGTCATGGGGCACAGTGAGTTCCCATCTCCATGGCTCGAGGTTTTCCTCTCTACACAGCACAGAAACCCCAATGTTGGAATCCTGGCAAGCCACAGCACTTTGTCACTACCCCTCTGTGTCACTTCTAACAAAGTCCGAAAAAATTTAGAAGCAGGGTCCAAAGGGCAGGTGGAAAGACCCCTGGCAGGTCCACGATCTGCCTCAGACACAGGTTGGGGTTTGTGATGGTGACATTGTCATGGTCAGGTCATCCCAAATAACTGCACAGTGTCAGTGACAGGGCACGTTGTGCAGGGCACCACTGACACTGCTCAGGCACTGGCAGGGGCTGTTCCCCCCGACCCCCGTGACGGACAATTGGAGATTTGGGCACCGCAGAATCAACCACCGGCCCGAGGGGGCGGAGCCATACCATGTGGGCGTGGTTTTTGGGCGGGGCCATGTTTAGCCCCGCCCCTCACAGCCGGTGGCGGCGCGCGGTGCAGCCAATGGGAACGCGGCCTGTCACGTGACCCGCGGCGCCTTCCCAGGTGCGCGCGGCAGCGGCTCCAGAGCGGGCGGGACCGGGGACGGGAGAGCTCCGGCCGGGCGGGGCGGGGGACGGGGCGCGGGGACGGGAGCCGGCCGGCCGCCCACCCACCCACTCATCCACCCACCCACTCATCCACTCACCCACTCACTCACTCACCCACCCACCCACCCATCCATCCATCCATCCACACACCCACCCAGCCCGCCGCCCCTCTCCGCATCCCGGCGCGGCGGGAGCGCGGCGGCAGCGGCGGATGTACAGCCCCGGGGAAGCCCCGCGGGAGCGCCCGGCCGGCGGTGAGTGCGGAGCGGCTCGGGGCAGGGAGCGGGACCCCCGGGAGCTGCGCGGGTGCGGGCGCTCCGATGGGATGCGGGATGTGCCGTGGGATGCGGGGATGTGCGCTGGGATGCGGTACGCTCCGCTGGGATGCGGTACGCTCCGCTGGGATGCGGTACGCTCCGCTGGGATGCGGGGATGCGCGCTGGGATGCGGGGATGCGCGCTGGGATGCGGGGATGTGCAGCGCACATCGCCCGGGGAGATCCCGCGGAGGGAGCAAAGTTTGTGGCGGCGGACGCGCCCCCCGGTGCCCCCCGGGGCTGCCGGGGGAGTCCCCGCGGGCTGCGGGGTTTCGGCCGCTCGGCACCGCGCCGGGACCGCCCCGGGGCTGCGGCCGCCCCGCACCGCCGGGGCTGCGGGGTTCGGCTGCAGCATCGCCCGCCTCCTCCCCGCGGGCGCTCCGCTGTCCCCCGGGCCGGTCTGGCGGTGGATCGCGGGTTTTGGGGGCGGATCGGTGCCCGGGTGCCGGCGGTGGGCGCGGGGCTGGCGGTGCGGCAGCGCTGCCCGCGTCCCTATTTGCATGCGAATGGGAGCGGATCCCGGCAGATGTCCTGCCTCATCCATTCACCCGCAGGAATGCGAGCAGACAAGGAGCCTTCAGTGTGACAATGGCCCTTCAGAAAGCGGCATAAAGGCGCAGTGTGAGCGCGGCCGCGGCTCCGCCGCCTCCTCCCGCGGCCGCGGCTTTGTGCGCGGGGCGCTGCGGGCGGAGCGGCCGCCCCGCACCTGGGGCTGCGGGACCGGGAGCGGAGAGCGCGGGGCACGGCAGAGATGCTCCAGCGGGGCCCTGCCGCACCGCACCTGCGGGCTGGGGGGATCTGGGGAGTCGGGTACCGGAAAGGTGCGGGGAGAAGCGCGGGGCAGCGGCCCGGCGGCCGCGGATCGTCACCCCTGCTCTGGTGGTCCCCTGCCCCCGGGGCTGGCTGTTCCTCTCCCTGCGAGTTTGGGGGTCTCTAGCTCGGGGTCTGGCGGTCCCCTCGGCCCCCGGGGTTGGGGGTCTCTCGCCCCCGCTCCCTCCCCGCGCAGCCGCGGGCGGACAAAGGGACCGACCCCGCTGCCGCCCCTTTGTCGCCCCTGTCAAAGGGCCCTTTGAGCGCGGGGCCGGCCCCTCTCCCCTGCAGGAGGAGGGAGAGGACGAGGCGCTTTGTGCCGCGGGCTCAGCATCACCGGGGCCGCACAACAGATGTTGGCCTGCGATTTTAGCTCTCCCCCAAGTTACTCGGGGCGCCTTTCCCACCAGGCGATGAAAGGCAAAGTAACAGAATTAAACTCAAAGTAGACAATAATGTTGTCCAGAGGTGAGAGATCACGCACAGGGAGCTTCTATTTTTGTCCTGGAGCTACGTGATAGCTCCCTGGTAATGAAGAGCATGATAGCCCTTCAATAAAAACTAATTTGTGAACCTTTAAGTCTTTTCCTTACGGACTTAAAGGGTCGCTATAAAAGGAACATGATCTTTCTGAAGGAAATCATAAACCTTTTCTGGTGAACAGCTCAGATGTACCCACGGGAGCTCCCAGAGGTTTCCAATGACCCAAGTCACACAGGGCATCAGTCCCAGTGTTGTCCAAAGGATCCCACCCAAGTATGTCCCAAAGTCTTGCAAGTTGGAATTTACAGTAATTTAAAAGACAGACACTCCGAAAGGGAGACAAACCAATGCCCGGAGCTTCCCAGATGGGAGGAGTGAAGAGGGCAGGACTGTTCTGTCCCTCAGCCCATGGCTCTCACCCCCTGGGCAGGGCACAGCTGGTGCCCCAGTGCCCCCTGTCCCTCTGCTCTGCAGCCACGTGTGTCACTGCCCCACGACAAAAGCTCCACTTTAACTTCTGCCTCGACCGCTAAAAGTTACCTGCACGACATTTGATGTAGTCCCTGCAAAATGATCTCTCCCAGGAGGAATTTTGGACTTGAACAGACCAGTTGCTGGGATGACTATAAAGTCGTTTCCATTCACCTGGAACAGATACAAATAACGGTGCTGGTTATTGAAGGAAGGAGGATTTTGCATCAAGTTGTACAGTTATAAAAGGGATAACCAACTTTTACTGCCATAAATAATGCTGAGCATGTCCAAACTTGGGCTGCAGAAAGAAACTTCTTTTGAAGCTTCAGGGGTCTGACCAGGGCTCAGACAACCTCGGAGGCGACGGAGCCCAGGCTTAAAACCAGTTGCCCAGAGCAGCTGTGGCTGCCCCCGGATCCCTGGAAGTGCCCAAGGCCAGGTTGGACGGGGCTTGGAGCAACCTGGGCTAGTGGAAGGTGTCCCTGCCCAGGGCAGGGGGTGGCACTGGGTGGGCTTTAAGGTCCCTTCCAGCCCAACCATTCTGTGATTCCATGGTTCTGTCTGTGCATTTGGTTCCAGCTCGTGGAGCAAACGGGGTCTTTTAAATAAGCCCGTGTGAAGCTCTGCCATCATCCCACGGCTGAGCCTGTGCCTGGAGCTGTGCCCGGGGGTGCAGGAGGCACAGCCCACGCCCGGGGGATGCCGCAGCCTTTGTTTCCCAGCGATACAGTGTCGGGGCACTGCAGAAGCCAGGGAAAACTTTTCCTAACGGGCGGGCTGTGTTCCTGCTGTATTCCTGCTGCTCCCGGCTGGCTGCTGCTGCCAAGGCAGGCAGCAAATTCCCTCTCCATGATTTCATTTGTAGGGACACTTAAAGCACCTTGGATGAATCATAACCCGGGTCAAGTGTTGCTGCTACTGCAGCTCCCACGGCTTCGTATTTGCTGGAAAGGGGATTTATTTGCATCACTGAGCCTGCAGGTTTCTTTCTGTTGTTGTCAGGGATGATATAAACTCCCCAAGTTCATTTAAACAATATTTTTTAAGATTTTTTTTTAAGTTTTTTGTATGAATTATTTTGAAGCTCTTATTTCTGCTAATGATATCAATGAGTGAAAAGAGAGGTTTTGTTTGCAGAGCTCTGTGCCACGTTAGTTCTGCCTCTTCAGGAGCTGCTCCTTCCCCAGGCCTTGGAGCACATGCCTGGTCCCAGGCTGGGCTTTGTGTCAGGCTCAGACCAGGCTCAGGCACCAGAAAGAGACAAAACCAAAGGAAAAGAGTTAAGTGACGTTTGCAGAAGAGTCCTGGTTGTTAACAGCATTTATTTGACTTTATTTTTTCAACCAGCAAAGTAGCAAGATGCTGAAAATATTTACGGAGGAGCCAAAGATTTCCAGAAATAACCCCCCCCTCTCTCCCAGGGCACTTTGTCGCCTTGGAGGTGCCTGTTCTTTGAAGCCCTGATTAATATAGATGAGTTGTAATTTTGTGACCAAGCCATCCTAGTTCACATATATTATTCCATTGGCAGACATGTGGTCCCCACAGCTGTCCCCTCATTTGTGTATGAAATGGAAACACTGGTGGCATTTGTAGGTTACCATAGTTACACGAACAATACACGTGTGAGGCTTCATCCTGCCAAGCTCCAGATTTTTTCCCTGGCAGACATTTTGTAGACACGGAACTGAAGAAAATCTATGTAAAGTTTTTGGAAGCGCAGAAATCCCTCCCTCCTCCTCTCTGCTGGCATAAGGCTGATGGGCAGGGAACCTGCCTTTCTGCTGCCTCTCCACGCCTGGTTCCTGCATCTTCTCCCAGTTGGAATCGCCACTGTGGAGATGCAGGATGCTCCCAGGAATTGTGAGAGCAGTTAAGTCATTAGCAGGGTCGTGCCTTAAACACATCTTTCTTAAAAATAAGTTGTGAGCTCTCCACAAAAGGGAACTTGGGAGCTGGGATAGTTTTCCTGTGTTACAGGAGCTGGCAGTGCCTGTGGGGCTCCTGGGGGAGCAGAGAGGTGGGAAGGAAAGGAGTCAGACCCCACATCTGCTCTACCAGGACAGAAATCCAAGCAAGGCCACTGCAAAAACACCCATACTCTGTTCTGTCTCTACAATTAACATGTGCCCACCACGGGAAGAAAGATGGGCAAAAGTAAAGGAAATCATGGAGTTGGCTTAGGAATGGTTTTATTGATGGAACTAATGGTGCTTCCCTGAGGCTGGGAGGGCGTAAATTCTGCACAGAGACACCACGGGACAGCTTTGCTAAGAACCAGTCCCTGCAGATGTGCTGAGTTATTCAAAGACCTGCCCAGGCTCACTCTTTTCCTTTAGCTGAGTAATTAAGTCCCTCACTAATGGGCTCCATAAGGTCAGAGTGGAACACTCCTCCATGCAGGGCTGAGAGGTCCCCACGTGAAAGTCCTGAACCCCATTCTCCTCTTCTTTGCTGCTTCAAACCCTGCAACTTTATTCAAATTTGGTTTGGCTCTTTAGATGTCCTATTTCATATTTCTACATATGGCACCGGAGGAAAATACTGGACTGGCCTATTTTGGTTTGGCCTAATTCTCCTCCTGAGGAAGGCAGGACGAGTCTGTGGCATCAGTGGGAACAAAATTAGTCTCTGCCCTTAAATTCTACTGCAAAATGTTTTTATAGCTTCACCCTCTATTCATAAGACCTTAATTTGGTGATCCAAGCCAGCGTTTTCTCAATGTTCCATCTGGCTGAATTATTAACAGAACAGCCCTGGTTTCTACCTGGAGCACAGTTTCTAAAGATCAAGTATTTGCAGTGGAGTGTTACCTTTTTCTTTTCTTTTTAACTAACAGAACAAGGCAAAGCAGTTGCAAGTAATGGGCTTGAAAAATTTAACAGGGTGCAGTACTGAGAATGCACGCAAGTTATAAAAGTGCCAGGGAGAAACAGCTCTTTCCCTTACTTTATTGGGCACAACAGCCTTGCTCCATAATTCTCTGTCCTGAGGTGCTGCCCTTTAGTCCCCAGTGCTCACCCAGGGCAGTATTTTCCCGGCCACTCCTCAACCTGAAGTGGTTTAACACGGAGGCAAAGCTTACTTTGGGGTTTTAGTTGGAAATTTTAGAGGTTGTCAGTCAGCAACTCATTTCCAGGTATTTAATTTAACTAACTCTGGTGATTCCAGCAATTTATGCATCTGTCAGTTTTGATTAGAGCAGGAGAACCGAGTGCTTTTGGAAGCCAAGCCCCCTCCAGGTCCCTGGCAAGGTTTGCCTGGTGGTTAGTCCAGCGTGAGCCAGCGCTGGGTGACTGTCCCCACCAGTGCCTGGGGAGCTTTGGAACACAATATTCCTGGCCTGGAGAAGCCATGGGAGATGCTCCCTGGGCTCCTCCTCCACACTGGAGCCTGGAGGACACTCCTCAATGCCTACTTTTATTTGATTTATACCTACTTTTGTACAGTCCCTGGAACTTAATTCATCAAGCAAAATGCCATACTTGGATCTGTCTGTGCCAGACTTGGATCCACACAGCTGCATCCAGGACGTGCCCCGTGATGCCAGCCCAGCTCCTGGGCTTTGGATGTCTGGGAGCAGCTCCAGCATTCCCACACATCCCAAAGACTTGGTGCACCTGGAGCAAGCCCAGCTTTTCTGGAGTTCTCAGGGGTTGGGCAGCAACACAGGGAAGAATCAGACTAAGCAGCATGTAAAAGTTATTCAGAGAGAACTCCTGAGCTTGTCCAAAATTTGGTAGAATCACATTTTACATTCTTTTAATAAAATATCAATCAAAGCTTGGATTGTCTTTTTTGTAATTTGAAAATGTTTATCATTGACATAATGGATCCTACATTTTCTGTTATTTCATGCATCACATCATTTATTTGATTAAGCAAGTCCAGAAGTACCAAGTAAATTCATACCTTGCTAATGTGCTGCATATAATTACTGGGATGCAGATGAGCCACTGATTGGCCTTGCTACATTTTTAAATTACAAATGATCCATCATTGTAACAGAAACAGAGTAAATATTGATAATTCCAGAGCTCCGCCACTCTAATGGGCATTGCAGTGCCTTGTAAATGCATTGAAAAATAACTTATTTCACCCACAGGGGAACAACCAGTTGCAAAAAAGAAAAGTTTTTTAAATTGCTGCTTGAAAATAGGTCTTTAAAATGGTTTCATGATAGTTTTCAAGCACTGAGTAAAACCAGGTCAGCAACCTGGACTAGTGAGAGGCGTCCCTGCCCATGGCAGGGGTGGAACTGGATGAGCTTTAGGGTCCCTTCCAACCCAAACCATCCTGGGATTCTTTGTAAGTTCATTGGCAAATAAGTTTTCCTTTCTCCTTCTGTGCCCAAAAGAATCGCTGTAATTAGGTAAAGATTTCATCTATAAAGCATCAATAACTCGAACTTTTACGAGGAAAAACCTCTCCTGTGTTTCCTGCACCAGGCAGCAGTTTGGAGCACTGATGGAATAACCCACCCATGGCAATGAGACTGAGGGCTAAAGCTGAAGGCACAGTTTATAGGGCTGTTCTTAAACATCCAGTGCATTAAATATGAGGTATTTTCCCTCTTTCTTGATCTCATGAACTTCCCAAAGCATGAACTTCTGCGTGAAACAAAATTAGTATGGAAATTTCAGTGAGAATTGAGGTAAAGAGAAATAACTAAACCAGGGCTGGGAACATTCCCACCATTCCAGCTGACTGAGCTCTCCTCTCCTGATGACATGGCAATGCCACTGAGATGATTTTGGAATGAAACAGTGATGGAAAACACATATTTGAGGTAGAAGCCTGCTCAAAAGTGCAGAAAGACTTGTGGGAAAGGGTCATGTGTTCATCTGTCTGAGTGGAGAGAAACAACTTTTTCCATAGGCCAGAGTAAAGCCTGAGTTCAGAGAAGGTCCAACCCCAAACCTGTGGCCTCCTAATGGAATTAATTCTCTCCCTTCTCAGCTTGGTTGAGTTCCAGATCTTTCTCTTGGTGCTGACAGCCTTTACATCAGATCTCAGCACCTCCCCTGCTAAATCCATTTACTTGGTTAGTGGTATGTTCACAGTCTTTCATATCAGATCTTTCAACTCAATATATGGGGTTATTAACATTTGTATATAAATATAGCTCAAAAATAGAGAATTTGATTTTGTAAGCATAAAACCTCTTAGAA